AAGGCTACCGTCTTATTGTCATTTTATGGATTTTTGAAAGACAGCCTATACATTTCTTATTGTTCGAAGAATCGATCGTGTCTTGTAGTGACGCTGATCGAGATTACTTAAGCGAAGTAAATTAGCCTGCCATGTTACTGTCCCTGGCAGCACCCTTATTTGCGTAGCGCCGCCCCTAGGATTCGATAGATTGGCGATGGTAGTATAAGTTATGACAAAGACTTATCGCAAAGAGAGAAGAGTTATGTAATAAGACCGACGCGGTAGAAGATTCTTCTGTGAGAAGGAGATCTCGCAGGAAATTGACGCGAGAGTGAAGGTAAATCCGTGCTTTACGCGCTGTCCTCTTTCATATCCGTTCTTACGAATACCGCACGATTTCCTCCCGTGACAATTAATTAGTTTTATAATTAATTCTTTTATTTCCGGTAACAAGCTTATGCTTCGAATAAGATGTACAGTCGGGAGCACTGAGGTTGCGACACTTTTTTTTTTATAAGTTTACGAACGCGCAAAATAATTCAGGATCCTGAATTTTTTTGCGCGTTCGTAAACTTATAAAAAAAAAGTGTCGCAACCTCAGTGCTCCCGACTGTACTCATTAAGATAACAATTGTATAATACGTTTGATATTTTTAAATATAACCGTGTACACGAAAAACGATCGACACATACTTAATATAATAACGAATAGACATATTATTGTTGCCGTGACTGTTAACGTGAAGTCAAAGCGTGCCGTAAAGTACATCGCTACCAGTTCTCCGTAAATTGGTATAAATTGATATTAATATCTCGAAACGAGAACAAAACCATTTTGTGAGATAAAAGCAGGAGGAAGGAAATGTTGTAGTTTCCGGTACAGAATACATCCCTATCGCTTCGGGATATGAATATTTTATTCTGTATAATCCCGATGCGTAAGTGTATCCCTTTGATCGATTATCAGAAATATGAAATAAAGGAAAACTATCAATGCCGAGAAAGTGGCAGTCCGTGTCACTACGTTTCGTAATTGAATGGCTTTTATATATAAAAAAATCTTTATGTACAAATTTATAAGTTATAAAGTTTAAAAATTATAAATTTCTATTTTCAATTACTGCATCGCTTATTATATTAAGATGTACTATTGCGGGGCATGGTTTTGACAAATTATCCTCACGGTATCAGTTACATTAGATTCTGTATATAAAACTTTTGAAATCAATTTCTTAGTTTTTATACACAGAAACTCTGTGTTTCATAAAACTTGTGGAATTAACACTCGAGACATAATTTTGTATACAAAGAAAATATGTACAGGGTATTTGTCATTTCAAGTTCTCTTTTAGGAAATGGAATAACGAAATATAATCTTGTCCAGTTTTACATGAATTAGCGACACCCAGATACGTAATAACTCATAAAAATAATAACCGTGTAGCCTGATTGACAGAAATTATTGCGATATTTATTAAAGCACACTTATAGCGAATCAGTTCGCATATGTATCTTGGTAAAAAAAACAACTTGGCAAAGAAATGAAAAGGAAACAGAGTTCGAGATGCCTATCGAAGCAATGGAATAGTTTTCCGATTGCGCGCACCCGTCCGTAATGGTTTGCAAACCGGTCAAGAAAATAGTGACGGAGGCACACTCTCTTTTGCACCCTCCGAGGGCAACGACGCGCGCAAATTAAATTCGATTTATTCCGAAATGCGGAGCGGTTCTTTCGATGAAAAGCGAACGAATATCCGAGGAAATGATAAATGACCGTTTCATCTTCTTGCGCGCGTATGCGACAATCTAATTTCAAGATATAATATTACGTATACTACTCTATAATAATTAATCAGTTGTACCATTTTGCAATTGTGACTTTTATTTATCCGAAATACTTCTTTGCAAAGATAGTCGCAAGAATAATGCTCTCGCACAAATTATTTGTGCAAATGACTTGACGATAAAACACGTAAAAATTAGAAAATTTAGAAGGATAAACTTTTAGCGCCATGTAAAAATGGGTACGTCACATTTGCGGAGTAACTAAGGTATCTCTTTGCGCGACATAATATTTTTGCGATGAAAATGTCGGATGCAATAAAGGAGAACGCGTGCGTAACTGAAACCCGATGGCTGATTTTCTAAAAGGAATACGAAAGTACAAAGAATACGAGATTCGCTAATTTATTATTCAGCTTTTAAAAGGTAGCGCGATCTTAATCTTTTCCAAAAGCGTTTCGTAAATGTGGCTATACATAAATAAATGCGAATCTTTGCTGTTAAAACTCGAAAGATATTTACGTCATAGTAAAATAGCAAACAGAATATTCGTTAGCGTTTGATTTGCGCCCGGGACACAGATTCGTCAAAGAGACTTTTAAATTAATTTACTTTCGCAATCTCGTGCCAAGTCGTTTTCTTTGCACATCACAGCGGAAAAGGATATTTCGAAGACATTTCGATTTTAAACTGACATATCCTCATTTTAACAGACGTCTCTAAAGTTAAAATGACAATTTAGATAAAACGTTATTTTTCAAACATGATAAATTTAAGATTTCGCAAAGTTTATTGCCAACAAGTCGTGTGCAGTTTATCAAGCTGTTTTTTCATAACTGTAAAAATATTTGTTCTTTGTATATTTTGTCGGGTAATTTTCTTGTTTCAAAAATGTAACATAAAATATGATTTTCTCTGTGTTTAAATCAACTGCAATCTTCCTATTAAATAAGAATCACAAGCACCGTAACAGATTGCAATTTATGCTAGTTAAACAAACGTATGAATGTCAAGTAACCGACTTTAAAGTTTAAATGCGCACTGTTTGTCCCACAATTAATATACCGCGACTGTAAACGTTTGTTCAAACTGCGAGGGGTCTTTTACTTCATAAAGTATAATTTCAGTCTGTGTGTGCGCGCGGCATGAAATTTACTATGAAACGCGACCTTCTTCAATTCAGATTCAAGCACGTCTAAATCCCGCGAGGTTACAAGCAATAACAATTAGATTCATGGGAAGACGTCGCCTCCTCTTTAAGAGGCCGCTCGAGGAATGTCAAAACGGGCATTATTCGCGACACGACACGGCGTATTCCCGATGTGAGCGCATCCAACCGCACTTGGAAAGTTTCACCGCTCTCGAGATAAGTACGAAGAACGCGCCCGCTCGCGCGGGCGGTCCAGAATGACTTTGTTAGTTCATGAAGACGACTGTTAAAGTTGATTAACGTTAAATCTCCGTCGGATTGTGCGCCAAACTTGGGCGCGTTCTCGTTTCCACATCTCGCGAAACCGCATAAACCATTTCCCCTCGAGAGAGGAAATGTGTAACGTGGAAACGCGGAACTGTAAAGTCTGCTTTGAACGACTTGCCATTCACATCGCGAACTTGATAGAATTTATTTTGATTTCTCACATAATCGAATGTGTACGCCAAATTTTTTTGTATTACAGTAAAATTATAAACCGAATTATTTCACGAGTTATCTTTATTAAATTATCTGACACAAAAAAAATTCTAAATCATTTAGAGCAAAATAATTTTAATCCATGGCAAAACGGCATCGTTTTCTTCGGGATTATTTAATGTCCCGTTGACAAGTAAAAAAATTGCTAAATAAAACGATCGTTTTTTATTTAATTTATTTAAAAATGCAAAGCATTGATGTTCGTGCTATTATATCATTAAGCGTATAAATCACAATTTAATTAAGAGTTAAAGTTTAATATCATCGAGTAATTTTAATTGAATAATAATGGAAATCAATATCATTTTACGCGCGTTATGACCAAACGATTAAGTACTATGTAAAAGGTCGCTTTTAATTAAATCTGACGATTGTCAAAGACTTGACGAACACAATTTTCATTTAAAACTCTACTACATTTTATTAGATTGTTTTGCAATATTTGCCGATGAATCGCGATCCTCGAATATAATATTATTTAATAATATTTTTATGTTCGTGCCAAGTTAGCTCTTCGATTCGAGCTGAACCGGAGCTGCTTTTGCCGAGAAGTCACGAAGCGTTCTCCGGAACGGGGCGTTGTTGTTGATAAATGTCATCGGAGATTTCGAGTTGAGTCGTCGAACCGTATTACGGGGCACGTATTATGGAAATTTTCGAAATAGATTCCGATCGGAATAGCTCAGTTATTACCTAGATTTCTATTGCGTCTTCTAGGGAAGACAGAATAATTCCGATTGGAATCCATTCCGTAAAAGTTCCACAATGCGTGCCCAGATGTGTTCAATTCAGTTGCGCTGCATTTTGTTCTTGATAAACGTATTAAGGGATTCTTATAGCAAAGACCAAACCGAATCCGACCGGAAAAGCGGCTTCATTTGTATGGAATGCAGCGCGATAATGTTTTGTGCAAACATGTGGGACGCAATTTCTTGTTTTTTTTTTTTAAATGCAAGGAATGCTCACTCGAGAGGAATTGCACTATAAAAAGTTTTAGAACGCTGTTGCATTATGCTAGCGAGTGAGATAGAGAAAGCTGCGAATACAAAAGGGCGAAGAACGATTCTCGAAAAATACCTTTATATGGACCTTATGCTTTATGTGCGCGGCTTGCTCTTTCGAAAGAATTTAAAGTGTAAACACATGTGGCTATTACGTAACAGTTTTAATCGAAAGATTTTCGCTTTTAATATGTTCCTTCATTTTCCTGCGTACTTTAATCGTGCCAAATAATGTTACAATTATGTAAAGCCAATTCAAATATCTCTTGAAAAAAAATCGGTAATTACTTTAGAATCCCCACAATTTTGTCACATCTAGTGGCTTTACGTACTTACACAACGAAATCGTGGGAGAGAATTTCAGGCGCAGCAATTAATATAATACAAAAGAATTTAATTCGCACACGAGATTAATTCGTAATATCAATTTATGAGCCGAAAAGAAGCATTAGTGAAAATGCTGTTGATTGCCAAAGTAAGTTCCTTCGTGTCCTCTCCCCCTCCCGACACCGAGTTACTCTTGAAAGGAAGAGAAAAATGTTCGCGTAGGACGGCAAAATCACTTTTTACGGCTAACTTCTCCCGGGAAATCTGACAAAGTCATGATTATAATTTATCATTCCTTTTGTCCCTCATCCCGAACTATATTTCCTACGTACTGGGTATCCCAGTTTCACCGTACGCTTCTTTTCGTGTATCATATATACGAGAACAACTTGAAGCGAAATTTTTTCCGGCAAAAATTCAACTGGCACGACCAATTTTTTTTCATACCTCTAAATATGTATTGTACATAAATGGGACTTGTCCTAAGTTGAAATTCTAAAAGCGAGATTTATTCAGAAACTTTGGAAGTGAAGAATAATTTATTTACGGTTAAAGAAAGAGATTTAACATTTTCTCATCTATTCGCACATTTTTTAAATGTAATTCAAGAAGATTGTGAAACGTTTAACTCATTGTCAGCTGTCGCGTGGAATTTTTATTAAGGAATAGCGCCGAATAGTTGTGCGAAATTTCAGATACCGTGTATACCTCGCGGGTAAAAGTGTAATTTGGTTATCGAGGCCAAATTTCATTATCGTCGTAGTGGAATAAATCCCCAAAGAGACTAGCCGGAGACTAGCAACGAGACGGACGAGACGTGCTCGTAAATCAAACGAGGGTAGGACGCCGTGTCTTAAGCCAATCAGAGTTGCGTAAATAAGTTATAGCATTGTTGTTCGCACATCAGCCCCGCGCCTTTTCCTTCCATGAGCTGCTGATATCAAATCTCTTTCGGCGCCGTTTCCCGTTTCGCCTCCTCCGTTCGTCGTATCACGACTAAGGACAAATCTAATCGACGGTGAAAAGGATTTCGGCCTGTCGTCGCCCCCGCCTCCGGACGGGGTGTTTTCCGTCTAAATGATTAAAACTAAAAGTCGTCCGTTTCGCAAGCGAGTTAGAAGTTAGGGATCCGCGTGAGCTATACAGAGTACGATAAATAAGGTGCGACTGCGGCCGTCAAACGCGCAGCGCAAAGTTAGATCGGATAAAAATATAAAATGCGATAGAAAATACGCGAACGTATTTTTAAAATAATAATGAGAACGTGAAAAGAAATTGGGATGAAAATGCAACGTGATTAAAAGTATCGTGGCAGCAGAGGATTTAATGCAAAGTTATTGCGAATTACGAAATCTGATTAAAAAGTGCCGTCGTCTTACAAAACAGGTCTGTAGGCAGACGACGAAGATTATTACGGGTAAACTTTCAAACGAACTTAAAGGAATCCGATAAAGTAAGAGAACTTGGTACGGGTGCATCGGAGGGCCGAAAAATCATTCAGCCGGATCAAAGGCATGCAGATCATAGCGCCCGTCGATCGCTATGAGACAACGACTGCCAGAGATTGACTTTTATATGAGTTTACATCGTGCGGGGTGGACGGGAAAGAGGAGGGTGCAAAAACGGTACAAAGGGCAACACGTTAAATTAAATTCCGCAATATTCCGAGACACGAAAGACATGGAATTTGTAACGGATTTGATCGAATCATCAAAAAGGTCTGAGGAGTAATGTAAGTAATAGGTGCGATACTACTATTCAAAATTGCTTACATTTACAATAATTTCATATTTATATTGGCTACAAATTTTTATATTTTAGATGTGCTTTAACCACAAACTGTCGGGGGCAAAATGAAAAATGAAAATTTCTTTAGATATTGATTTAAATTTGAACCGCCACGTGTTACTAGGGTCGATTAAAATTAATGTATTAATTATATGATATTATTGTCGTCATATCTGAAAACGTTTTTATATACGTTTAAGAAAAATATAAACCTTACATAAACCACTGCGAGAGACACTTTTCACACTTTTCTTTCATTCAAAAAACGTAATTACGAGATAATGTCATAAAGTGAACAAACTTCAAGATATGAATCGGAGATAAAGAGGAACACTTTATCACATTAGCCTCAATTATCTAACACTTTTAATGAACCACTCACCACATCGTCGATACTTCACGATTTCACCTTCGACACCGCCGTGACGCCATCGGGATTTTGCCGAAATTCCGCCACGACGACCGGCACAACTCCGCCAAGTTATGCGCGTGTAACCTGTAAAGGCAACATTTCTCAAATATATGATAATGAATAAATTATAATCATCTAAGACTTCTAAATCACACCACTCACTGCATCGTCGAAACTGTACGATTCCACCTTCGGCGTGAGACTATGACGTCACTGGGATTTCGCCGAAATCTCGCCTCGACGAACGGCAGGATTCCGCCAGGTCGTACGCGTGTAACCTGTAAAAGCAACATTTCTCAAATATATACAACTATAATTATCCAATACTTTTAAATCGCATTACTTACCGCGTCGTCAAAAGCGTCGAACTTTACGATTTCATCTTCGGTACGAGAACGCCCTGACACCATCGGGATTTCGCCGAAGTCCCGCCACGACGAACAGCACAATTTCGCCAAGTTATGCGCGTGTAACCTGTGAAAGCAACATTTCTCAAATAAACTATAATTAACAACGTCAGTGTTTTCTCGATCATACACCTGGCATTTTTAATAATACAGAAAATTTACTGCGAAAAATATTACCTCAGCCAGGTTAAAAAAAGGTTCAAAAAGTCGAAATAGACGCGTAGACATCTTTATACTGTTATTATACGACAAATATTATCATATTCCTCGGTGGTCGAATTGTTGAGACGCCCGCCTAGAGTGTAGCGAGGTCCAGGTACACACCCTGGCTGAGGTAATATTTTTCGCAATAAATTTTCTGTATTATTAAAAATGCCGGGTATGGTCAAGAAAACGCTGACGTTGTTATTATCGCTGGCGACACTGAAGAATTCTTGTTAGTTAACTATAATTATCCAAGACTTTTAAATCGCACCACTCACCGCATCGTCGAAACTGTACGATTCCACCGTCGGCGCGAGACCGCCGTGACGCGAGCAGGATTTCGCCGAAATCCCGCCACGACGAACGGCAGGATTCCGCCAGGTCGTACGCGTGTAACCTGTAAAAGCAACATTTCTCAAATATATACAACAATAATTATCTAATGCTTCTAAATCGCATTACTTACCGTATCGTAAAAGGTGTAGAACTTTACGAGTTCACCTTCGGCGCGAGACCGCCTTGACGCCACCGGGATTTCGCCGAAATCCCACCGCAGCAAACGGCACAGTTCCGCCAAGTTATGCGCGTGTAATCTGTAAAAGCAACATTTGTCAAATAGACTATAACTATCTAAGACTTTGCAATCGCACCACTCACCGCATCGTCGAAACTGTACGATTCCACCTTCGGCGCGAGACCACCGTGACGTCACCGGGATTTCGCCGAAATCCCGCCGCGACGAAAGGCACAATTCCGCCAGGCCGTACGCGTGTAACCTATAAAAGCCACATTTCTCAAATATATACAGCTATGATAATCTAATACTTTTAAGTCGCATTACTTACCGCGTCGTCAAAAGCGTCGAGCTTTACGACTTCACCTTTGGCGCGAGAACGCCTCGACGCCATCGGGATTTCGCCGAAATCCCGCCACGACGAACGGCACAATTTCGCCAAGTTATGCGCGTGTAACCTGCGAAAGCAACATTTCCTCGAACATTTCTCAAATATATTACAATATATGTACAACTACAAGTATCCGATACTTTGAAGTCGCATCACTCACCATATCGTCGAAACTTTACGATTCCACCTTCGGCGCGAGGCCGCCATGACACCGTCGCGCTTTCGCCGAAATCCTACCGTGACGAACGGCACAAGTCCGCCAAGTTATGCGCGCGTAACCTGTGAAAGCGACATTTCCCAAATAATCTATGCGTATTCGTCTACGCTGACGTCGCGCGCCTTTCTTGCAAGGTAGAGTGAAAAAGGTTTCTGTCGAGAGTGACGATCGAATAGCCGAGATCGAGCGGACTCGGAGAAACTGGCTTTGCCGAAGGTGCCGGGTTTCGTAGAGGGAAGCTCGCGATTTATCTGCGCGCGAGGAGGAAATCCCCGTATCCCCCCAGGGAATAGCGTACCTCGTTCCAATCCGGATACAAATCCACGGTGAATAGACGAGGCGGCGGGTCGACTACGCGTAAATCCGGAAATTTATCGCGACGGCTTCGCGCGTACGTAACTACATACGTCGTTAGATCCGCCGAATGGCGCGAAACCGTTCTTGGTCCAGGCGGTTTCGAGTCTCCTCGCGAGGGGCGCCACGAACAACAGCGAGCGCGGTAAACCGCGGTCGGTAAGAAAATACGCGGCGGGGTTTCCCGCTTTATCGACTGTCGCGTGGACAAAAATTCCAGCGCGACGTCTTCGGCAGATATGTTCCCTCAGAATCGATGAATTAAATATTGCGAGACGAAGAGATAACTGAAACCAACCGCACACGTTACTACTTTTCCTACTGGACTTGTTGTAAGCCAATACTCGGTAAACACCGAGTATCAATACATTGCATTTATGTTACAATTTCTCGCTCAACAATGTATTGTAAATATGTATAATACAACACATCTGTTATATTGTGTTTATATCGTTGAGTGAGAAATTGCAACGCAAGTGCAATGTAACTGATGCTCGGTGTTCACTAAGGATGCAATGTTTAGCCAACGTTTAGCCAATGCATTGTGCTACTAGAGACAGGTGACTCAAGGCTAAATCCTAATCGGCTCTTGCAAGCTATCCAGTAGGAAAAATAGTGCCGTCGGCTTAACAGACCTATGTTTCCGAACGCGTTTAAATATAAAATATGTATTTTCAATGAAAATTACTTCGCGCTTCGTCGAAAAACTTACTCTTCCGTTCGCACGCACGTCGTGCGTTTGTACGCGACGGAGCGAACGCGTTTTATAATTGAAACAAACACATAATTGTTTCGGTTTGAAACGTGGCGAAATGAATATTATCAACAATGAGAACAATGTAGTTAAAAGTATAAGTGAGCGTATTATCGCGAATGACGATCGGACGGGCGTAATCGCACGGAGTGAAACCAATAAGCTGAAAATGTTTGTCATATAGTTCGTGCCTCGCTATCTACACGTACACGGCAAACGGAATGTAAATACGTACTCAAGGAAGTATATCGCGCTCGAAGGAAGACGTCTAAGAAAAGGACAACACGTGCCGTGTTATTCATAGAGGAAAGGCCTCTATCTCATGAGATAGGTTCCTAGTACGAAATATCAGTAGGGTTGGGCAGTAAAGCCAACGGCACACACGATACTATTTTTCCCACTGGATTACTTACGAGAGCCAATCAGGATACAGCTTTGAGACACCTGATCGAAAACTCTGCATTTTGGCTTAAAGCCAACGGTATACACGATACTGTTTTTCCTACTGGATTACTTACGAGAGCCAATCAGGATTTAAAGCCAACGGCAGACGATACTATTCTTTCTACTGAATTGCTTACAAGAGCCTTTCAGGATTCAACCTGATTCAACCTTAAAGCCAACGGTACACGATGCTATTTTTCTTCCTGGATTGCTTACGAGAGCCAATCAGGATGCAGAGTTCTCGATCAGGTACGTGACTCAAAGCTGAATCCTGATTGGCTCTCGTAAGGAATCCATTAGGAAAAATAGTATCGTGTGCCGTTGGCTTTACTTGTTTTTGGTAACTCTAACCTAACCTCATTACTTTATCTCCAATCTGTAGCAGTAACTTAACCCCTGGTCCACAATCTTGCTTTAAATAAGCTGTAAGCCTCAAGCCGTAAGAAATTAACCAATCACAGGCATTTATTCCCCTCACTCGCACCTGTGATTGGTTAATTTCTTTGATCCAATCACAGTCGGAAGTGAGGGGAATAATCGCTTGTGATTGATCAATTTTTTGCAGCTTAAGGCTTACTACACCTATTGTAGACCCGGCCTAAGCCCGCAAAAATTGATCAATCTAAGCCGTAAGAAATTGATCAATCACAAGCGATTATTCTCCTCACTTCAGACTGTGATTGGTCAATTTCTTACGGCTTAAGGTTTACTACACCTATTGTAGACTCGGCCTAATATCTTTTAAACCTCCACAGATCGCACTACCCAGTGAGAAATGATTCGTCGATCGACGTCGAAATGATGTCGAATCGACGTCAATTCGACGGTGTCGATGTCGATTCGACGTCGTTTCGACATCGATCGACGAATCATTTCTCACTGGGTAGGGCCCGGTTTCACCAACGCGAGTTAATCTAATCGGTCGGTTAACTTTCAGGGTGCCAACAGCCGAACATAAAACTGATACCAAGAAATTAGGTTACCCAGCAAACACAGTAATGTAACATATATGTATAAAATACATAATAGCAAGTATCACGAGGTAACGAGTTATGTAACAAGTAACATACATGTATGTTACCTG